TCTTTTATGTATAGTCCTCACTCATGCTCAGGATCAAACTTGTTCTTGAATATTCTTGTATATATGGAAAGCTCGAAATAATAAATGTTTTAAACGTTTAGATAGTGATTCACTAGAAGTCCTACATATGGACGAACAAAAGACATTGATATGGGAATCGAGATGGTGTTAGCACGCTGCGGTGGTTGCATCACGTTTGGGCTCAAGCATGTTTTTTGATGTGCGTCCACATGGCAACCTTTTTGAAGAGAAGGTAGAACCTCTCCCTTAGGTGGATATTCTCCTCCATCCTCTTTATGAGCTTCATATGGAGTTGAGGTGGTGGTGATAGCGTTGTGTTCCATCCTGATAGGTGGAAATATGGAGTTGTCACATGGGTTGCGAGAGCCTCTGTCAATTTCGCGTTTGGATTGTTCGTCTTGAGTCGGTTGCTGCGCGGTTTCTTTGTTAGTCCTAGGCATGGCTTTTCCCCTTTGTTTGTCTTAACATGTCTTCAACTAAAAAAATTATATTCTCTCTCTTCACTATCTTACGTCCCCGACAAAATATTTAATATGTACCCTTGTAAATTCTCTTATTTTTTAAAACAAATTCAGCAAAACAAATGAAATGAGGCATATTTGCTCTTTATTTGATACCGTCGGAGAAGAAAACTAAAGAAGCTTCTTTATTAAAGATAGAAAGATATATTTTTTTGCAAAAAAAATCCGTTATATTTTCCTTTAAATCTATCTTACACGAAAAAACGGATTATAGATACCTGCACTCTACGCTTGTGTTATCATAACAACCTGTACCCGAATACCGTGTTTATAACAACCAGCACTCCTTTGTTTTTTGAATTTGCAACCCACTTTACTAAAAAAAGGCTTTGAACAACCCAACAGTAAATGGAGTTAAATTGTTCGTTAAGTGTTTGATGACTCATTAATTAGTAAAAATAACAGAATTTAATTTTCAAAATATTGATTAGTTAACATACAAAAACGTCGTCGTTTTTGAAATAAAGGAGAGATTAAAAAAAACGCATCTCTTTATTCTTCTTTGTCGCGATCTAGAAGAAGAAAATTAGGGTTATCAATCCTGCAATTAGGGACTCTCTTCATCATGTCTTCTTCGTCTGGTTCAGGTTAGTTTAAGGTTACAATTATGTTCTAATTTTGCATATGAAACTGAAACTGAATTTTTGGTAGGGAGTGCAAACCAAAAATCATCTTTCACACTCATCACTACAAATTAAAGAATAAGAAAACCTTAAAAAAATGTTGAATAAAACGTTTAAGTAGTCTAAACAATCGTTAATCTTGCACCA